TAGTAGTAGTAGGTGTAGTAGTAGTAGGATTAGTAGTAACGTAGTAGTACGTAGTAGGCCTATCAGAGACAAGATTCTAAGTACATACATACCCAGACATACATAAACATTTATTGGATAAGCAGGTTTGAAATAAGCAACTGTACAGCTGGTGTGGACCGACTACTACTAAGTCTAGATAAGAGAACAAAGATTTCCAATACAATTATTTAAGATAAAAGGACGTCAGTAACCAAATAATTTAAAAATATCTAAATTCAGGGTTCTTATTATAATTCCTTTTGAAAACTGATGTCCCTAACGTAGGTCTTAATCGATTTTAACTTTCTTTTAAAAGAGTGAGGGTTTTCAAGCTGTTTGATATGTTGCACGCAACATATTAAAAGTAAACTTACAGTTTTAATCAAAATGAGTTTTTCTATGTCTAGTTTCAGTAATTTGACTAAGACACCTCTTTTTGACTTTTTTCATCAAAATGGGCAAATGGAACGATCGGTTGATGACGAGTCACGTTTCTGCAGTAGGTCTTGGACGTCTCTAAGTAACCAAATGGATCTTTCCTGAATTCGTGAAATAAACTTTGGTTCACATATTTGGCAGGTGCCCCCTGTTGGATGATTTGAATAAACTCTTGCCAAGCTTTTCTAGTTCCTCTAAGCGATCTTGGATAACTGCGATGTAATCGGTTTTCAACGGTCACTGGAAAAAACAGCAGCGCTTGTCCACGAAATTTCAGCTCCACTGCTGAACAGACATATTTGTCGGTAAGCCACCAGTTCACTCTTTCGTGTGTGGTATCAAATGGGAAAATGTGGCGAGCGGCGCGCGCTTGAAAGGCGTTAAACACAGGGTCAAAGAAGATCGTTGGATTGGCCACCGAGGTGCTATTGGTAATTCCACAGTTGGTTTTGATCTTGTTTCGAACTTTCTGCCCTTCTTTTTGCTCCTCAAAGTCAACAACACCAACTGCTGGTTCATAATCTAAAAGCCAGTCTTGGAAAATTCGAATTGGCGAAAAATGTTTCATATCCGGAGTGGCAGCACTGTTAAACTTAAGAGACACATCGTCGTCAGTGAATATGAAGTATGTATAGCCTGGCCTTCTGTTCATTGCAGCAAAAAACAGCTTATTTCGCCCCGAGCCCCAAGTAGTTGTATTGTCAAATAAATACGTTACATGGGGCGGTCTCTCCTTCTGACATTTTCTCTTATAGCTCAACACTATCACATCGCATCGACATGTTATGTCAGTGGACAGTTTCAGATGATCAGACAGCTTTGGTGGGAGACACTGTTCTGTCTGCGTAAGAAAAACAAATGGTCGTGAAACAATTTCTTTTTCTGTCCAATTCGTGTCAGTCCGATACAGCTGAAGCACAGGTGTATGTAGATGGAAGAGATGCGGGCTCAGTGTGAAGAAGAAAATAATACATGTCACAGTTAAGACAATATAAGCTAAGTAGTGGCGAGCCATACTTAACAGAACATTGGGGGACGTGCGGTACAATGGAATGAAATTAAGTTTAGACAAAGCAGAGGTTATACTCGATTTTGAAACGTTTACATAGTTTTAAATTGCTAACCTGACACTCGGCAACAATTTCATTTCAATTAACAACCTGTATTAAAGACCTTTTCGCTAAAAATAAGCATGCCCGAATTTTCATTTATTATTATTATTATTAGGATGATGATGATGATGATGATGTTACATTTTCGTTAAAAAGGAACGCACATTTATACTATCCTCCGCCTACGTGGCGTCAAGATTCTCACACCGCCAGCCAATGTTTATTTTGACTATTGTTTGTTTCACGTGAAAGATCAGTGACTTCGAGAGCAAAACCTAAACAAAGCAAACAAAAAACGATTGAGTAATATTGAAAATTATTTCCGCTGCCTAGCAGCCTGCGTAGCTGGCGGTATTGTGTTGTAGTCGAGTGAGATTTAGCGGCGGAGCCATTCGAGTGAGAAATATCGCGTGCCAGAGAACCATGATTTTTCGAATGCCGCCCACTTTTGTCACCTTAGCTGATCCCAATTAAATCAGCCAATCAACGAGAAACCTGCAACTTGAAACTTCCGATTATTTTCGCGCGAGACAGTTTAGAAATACTGGAAGCGTTGACAGGCTAAACACGACTCCTAAGCTCGTGATAATGTGAAACGTGACCTTGTGAGTTTGCTTGAACAGAGGTTTTTTTAATTTTCTCGGCTCTCGCGCGAAGGTTACTAGTACTACACAGTGTATCATTTTAAACTTTGACTGAGTAAATCGTTTTTTGCCACACTAGCCTTAACATTAAAAGGTCATGAAGCCGGTTTGTTACATGCATACTGAGTAACCGTTTCCTGTGGTTTATACATCTGTAGGTGTTCCTGATAGGATTTGATCTCGGATGCAGTTGTAAAGTGTTTTAATTTTCTTTGACCTTGTTTCTTACGGCTAAATAAAGACAATTCCAGCGCTGTGAAGTTTAAAGACCCGTTTCGGCAATTTGGTCATCAATTATGCTCTTTTTAAGGGGGAAACCAGAATCACTTAAGTCTTTTCCAGTTTGCCATCTGCTCCCTTAATTGGGAATTATATGCGAAGGATCATCTAACATGATTGACATATGTATGGCCCTCGACCAATCCGTTTCTCCGCGCACTGGTGTGCGGACTACAGTGAAACCTGACACCTGACACCGGACACCGGATACCGTATTAAGCGGACACCCTCTATTAAGCGGACAGTAGCCGAAGTCCCCAAATTTATTACCCTTAATTACTTTAAATGAAACCTTTATGAAGCGGACACCTCTATTAAGCGGACGCGGACACCTAAAAAGTACTTAAAAGGGCCATTTCTATTGTTGCCAACCTGTATTTAACGGACACGTGTAATTAAATTCCACCACCCAACATACCAGACACCGGAAATGCGAAAGATTGCCTCGAATTGCCACCCACAAATTCTTCGATCTTTACATTAAAAAACGTGACTTGACGACTTTATTTGATTAGTTTCACAGTACCGGATTGTTTTCTATTTCGTTTTGTTTGTATAGAGCTTGTTTCACTCATCTGATTTCTTCAAATTTGAGTTGCAATCTATGTTTATGGTCCTATGATCAATTGGTTCACTTTGATAAAGAAATTAATGCAAACGTCTATCGTCACAGTCTCTGGGAGTATTATAAACGCTTCCACTGTTCATTTGAATGGCATTTGACACCTCATATGACGTTATATATCGAAACCTGTATTAAGCGGACACTACAGCATTCCCCTAGGGTGTCCGCTTAATATAGGTTTCACTGTATTCAAAATACCGGGGTTTTCTGGCAGGCGGTATTTCAACCGCCTCGTCCCTACTCCCTTTTTTTTGGAACACGGCTCCCCCGCCAAAACTTTAATCTTGCATCCACACAATACCGCCAGCTACGCAGACTATTGCCTAGCGTTGGGAAGAACTGAAATAGACGGATCTGAATTAGTTATTGGAGGTTGCCAAATAATGGATGACATCCAGGATGTTTTAAATAGCTTAAATAGGTATGTTTTTGCCTGTCCGAACTCGAGTTTCCTTTTTGTGCGTCGAGGAATTTATATGCATGTACAAATTCCAAGATTTTGAGCCTGGAGTGCAAAAGCAATGAAAGCGATAGCAGTCATTAGTATTTGCCATTACCAAATTGGTGCATAGTAATTTTCGGACCTTTTGATTGGCTCCCCGCATAACTAGGATTGTAATTGTGATTGCCACCGATACTTGAGCACCCAAACACGGTTTCCTCCTAAATACATTGAAGACACTTTTTTAGGCTATCCAGAGCAAGGGATGGCGCAGTGGTGAGAGCGCTCGCCTCCTACCAATGTGGCCCGGGTTCAAATCCCAGCGTCGACGCCATATGTAGGTTGAGTTTGTTGTTGGTATTACCTCCAAATCATTATTTATTTATTTATTTATTTATGTATTTACTTACGTTTTGACCTCTAGAAATGCCTTCTAAGCAGCGGTATAAAATTTTTACCTCTTCGGTCATCCTAGCGGAACTTGAGTCTTTTCGAAATTTCAAGGGCTTCAGTATTTTTTCTCCGAAAATTTTACAGGCAATTTAAGTTATTACGAAAGTGAGAATTTTTTTCTGATTGGTCTCTCCATAACGTTTTTGAACTCGAAAATTTTAAGTTCCCTTTTTTGTGCGAAAAATAGCCCAATCTGGTGAGTGAAATGTGAAAATTAATTTTTCACGGAAAAGGTACCTCTTTCGTATACGTTCAATAGACTAATGGTACCCCTTTCATATACCTCGTTTAGAACTTTGCATCCCTTTGAAATGCTGTAAATGCATTGTCATTTATAATAATTAATCACAAATGTAAAACGTTTTCCCGACTTTATAAATCCATAAAATTCATCTGTTCGGCTCCTTGGGCCCTTTCACAGACCCAAATGACAGATTTCCCTACCCTTTCATATACTTCAAAGAGTGAAATCCCTTCCCTTTCGTATACCTGAAACCTGAAAACGGTACCCCTTTCTGGCGGAGCCTCTCCGTATCGGCCATTATAGGGAAAACACCCCCTCCCACCGCCCCAGGGGAACCGGGTCTTTTTGGTACACCAGGAGGAGACGAACCACTCGATGCCATGCAGCGCTTCCTTTATTAAAGTTAAAGAAATATTTTTGTACAGTTAATTCGCCATGCCAACGCACCCTTAGTAAACTTTATTTACATGTATGTAGATACTAAAATAAGCAGGGACCTTCAGTTTCAGTTCCAGTTTCAGCCTTTCCGTCGTTGGATGTAAGCCTTCCCCATTGACCTCCACTGTACCACGTTTTGCGCAACACGATGACGATGTCTTACGAAACTCTCTAAATCGTCCCTCCATCTCGTTCTTGGTCTTCCTCGGTTCCTTATGTGTCCCCGGGGCCTCCAGAATGTAATGCAGGTTGTCCAACAGTTGTCTGTTCTTCTCGCCACATGACCAGCCCATTCCATCTGAGTTTGCTTATAGTTTCCATAATATCTCGTACTTTGGTTTATTTTCTCGAATCGATTGAGCTGTTTTAAGCAGAGACCTTACATGCAATTAAATTACCCCATTAGGTTCCTCGAAAGAATATTCCAAGTGCCAGTTACCAGATACGAACTGAAAAAGCGCCTCGGAAGGAGATTTTTTTAATACTAGGTGCTTCCTTAGTGAGAACATGAGTCGTTTGCTTTAGAACTGGAAGTGGTTGCTAAGTAGGAGTTACAATTAAACCTATTAATAGAATCACTTTATTGGAATCAAATTGGTTAAGGTGGCTGAACACTGTTTTGGCAGTTTGTGAGTATATTTCATTTGCCAAATTATGGCAAGAGAAAGGTTCCAGCTCAAAAGCTGAAATTTGTCAAGTGAAAAATATACTAATAAAAGATTTTGATTGGCAGCTAAAAGGTGCCGTTTTCGTAGTTTCCATGGCAACATGAACGATTGAATACAACATTAAAATTTCACTTTTGCTCAGTTTACATAAAATTCGCTCATTAGATTTTCCTATAAACTTGCACACAGCTTACTATAATTAATCATTACCATTTGAAGCTTATTTTACTAAGTTTTAACAGACGAGTTTTTAGATAATCAACAATATAATAGTGCTGTAATTACTATATGTGTCCCAAAAGTCGTCTGTTCAACTTCCTTTTTAAAGTTCTCATTATTTAAAATACGATAAAATTAAAAATTCTGCCAAATATCACAAAATTTTAATGAGTAGATTTTGAGAAATCGTCTAATGTGTACCATTGCTTTTATCACCGCCATGTTTGTTTGTCTAATTTAAAACACGCCGTCGCGCGACTTACCGCTGACCGCCCACAAAACTGTGTTCAACCATCTATTGTAATATGAAACTTAAAGATAAGAGAAAGGTTTGGAGCTAACAATTAGCAAGCCGGAACAGCGACGGCAACAAGAAAATCATAAACATAATAGGTTTAGTATGCAATTAAAAGAAGAGCCCTGCACATGCAGCACATTTTATGGTGCAATAATTGCTTTACCTTCATACGATCACTGCGCGCATAAAACAACGACCTTCCTGATTTTTAATGAGGGTTGTAATCATAACACAGTGGATTTTCCTTTCCCTTTCTGAGCTTAATTCCGTTCATTTAAATTCACCTACAAGAATATTTGCCTGCAACCTCTCTTTGGCGATTTGAAAAAAAAAAAAAAGATGTTGCTGAGAAGAGAAACAATTCTTACTCAGATAGGTAATTTTACAGTTTTATAGCAATTTTTCGGTTTTCCATTTTTTAGTCACTTTGTAAAAGAACTCATTATAGTTGACTGGTAACTGTTAAGTCTTGTAGGAATAAAAATAATGAAGCCTGTGATCTGACACTCAGCAAAACTTTGGATTGGATAATGCCGTTAATAATACTGTCCCGTCTCACGCAATCACCGACAAAAACTCGATCAGTTTTTAACAAACGTTTGCTTAGTGTTACTCCAGCGAATGAGGGGAGAACGAAATGAACTTGCAGAAGAGCTAAAACGTAGACGGCAATCTAGACACTTAATAAATTCCATACTGCATATGAAGCAGCGGTGAATCGAGCCGTACAAAAACGGGTTGATGACGTGAGTAGCGAGTACCAGGTTCGCACAGAGAGAAAACAGCCATGGATACTCCGTCACGAGTACCTCCCAGGTCTGATAAAAAAAGACGCGGAGCAGGTGAAACACGTGAATCGGAAGATGGCACAGCGCGAAGATCGCTATAACGGCTATCATTTTGCGAATCACACATTTTCGTTGCTTTACGAAAACCCGCCTCGCAGGAGGAAGCCTTTTACCGTCAATAGCGCGCAGTTTAAGGACAATCTTAACATAAATGACAAAAACAAAAGCTAAAGGTACTAAATACAATAGAACAGCGTCAATTGGTTGGAGAATTTTCTCAAAATTCGGTTGTGACCAAACTATGTCGCATATGTATATTTCCTCCAATTTATCCTCTGCCTCCATCTCGCTAGACAAAAACTCTTTTTCCTCAATACCATCAAGGGAATTCACATTAATGGTTTGGAGAAAAACTAACTGAGGAATGCTAAGGATGAAAGCAGCCACCCAAATCACTATAATAAGATACCTGACAAGACTTTGTTTGATCGAGTTGTAAAATGTTATAAGGTATCTCTCTACGGCTATGGTCGCCAGGGTCGCAAGCGAAGCATACATACAGATATGTGTTAAGGAGAAAACCCCCTTGCAGAGGAGGACCCCAAAGGGCCAATGAAACTCCATAGCCTCATACACAAGGTAAAACGGCATAAAAACTGTTAATACTAGTAGGTCAGCCGCAGCTAAGTTAACCAATAACGGTACAGCAGGCGACAGCGAACCGTTGGATTTCTTCCAGAGATAGAAAATTGCCAAAATGTTGCTTGGAACGCCAAAGACGATAAAAATCGTTTCTACCACCATCTGTAAGGACATCTGGAAAGTGCTGTCGTTCTCCGACGGAAGTGTCGGTTTTGCTTCGAGACTAGGAGACGGCCCGTTAGATTCAGAATCCATCGGGTCTGGATCAGCGTGAAATAGTCCAAATTATGCTGTAAAATATTATTTCAATGTGATGAATGTAAAGACTTAAAGTAGCATAGCAGCAACCTAGACTAAAGTTTTATTATTAGGCGACGTTCACACTCTAAATCAGAAAGATCTGTTTTAGCCCTAAAAACAGGGCCGTTTCGGTAAGTAAAATACAGTCCTATTTTTGGGTCTAATTTGGCTCCCTTAATTCAGGGCCAATACAGTCCAATTAGCTAGGGCTGATTGGTCCCAGGACTGAAATGGGCCCTACCGTGGGCTGGAATAGCCTTTTGATAGAGCTTTTTTGGCCTAAATTGTGCTCAAATGGCACCAAGAAGGGCTGAAACAGACTTTGGCCTGCAGGGCTGAATTGACACTTTGGGGCTGAAACAGATCTTTTTAATTTACAGTGCACATCAGCTATAGCGGATAGCTTGTCGTGTAAATGACGACCTGTTCGACATGTAACTCTCCACTTTAGAGCGGCGTGGCGCAGCTTCGCTCCAGTACAAAAATCGCCGAAATCACCGTTCTTATCTCGGTGTGAACAGTAGCCGCCTTATCCAGGGTGGTTTTCGTGCATGCGCAAAAGCTATTCCAGTATAGTGTGAACAGCCTAGACAAGTTTGACAGGGCGATCTGTGAATAATATTCACAAATGTAAATCCTAAATAACTACTTGAAAATGTTACTTTTAAAAAAGGTTGTTCATCTGCCCTGGCAAAGTCATATTATATAATCATCATAAGACAAATTCGAAAACTCACAGCAAAAACAGAACACATCTAATGTTTCGTTCGACTTGCTCAAACTTCATTAGCGATGTCAAGTCAGATTCGCTTAATTACTTAACAGAAAGGTTCGCTGAAGAAGTATATAAAAATATTTGATTTGTTTAAATTGTTTTGCTGTAAGGTTTTTTATCTGTTTAATGATGTGGCTGTATGTGAGAACCAAAAATTTTACCACGAAGACGTGTTCGCTTCTTAACTACGCCATACAATATTTTTGTTTGTTAGAAAATATTTACAAAAGAACTTCTAAGTACAAACTACAGAGAAAATGCTGCTGTTTTAATTCAATTTAAATTTAGCTCACCTTCAGTGAAAGGGTTTTTAAAAATGTTTTGGACCAGTTTGGGGGAAATTGAAAATAAGCAGTTTAAAGTCAGAAAGGATAATGATGTAGTGGTGACAATCAACTCATGTCTTCCAACGCTATGAAAAGAAAGAAAAGAGAGCAATTTACCTGACTAGTATTTATCAAGCGAAAATTGTCATTCTTCTACATTTTCTACTACGAGAGAACGTCTTCCAACTGACTTTCTTCCAAGAACTCTCCTTTTTGATAGAGAAATACAACCGAAAGTCGATTGTTTAGACAGCAGGCAGAGCATCAAGGCTTTCCCGTATTATTCAACAACCAGCCATCAACAAAGACCATTAATGCAGAATTCTAAGTGCACTTAGCGGATAAGAGACAGAGATGGAGAGAAAGATTTACATTCAAGGAATTTAATTTCCGTTACGTATTTGCAAGCAGACAAACGACGTCTGAAGACGTTCATCCAGGTCTGGTCTGTTTCCAAACTCTTTACACCAAATTTTCTCTTTTAAATTCTATGTTTAATCTTCTCTGGCGATTTCATCCTTAGTTTTAATAAAAGAAAACAGGGATCAAGCTAAAAAGCAAAGGTCTTAGAAAGACCGGTTTTGAAAAAATGTCTGCAATCAAACACACAGTGTCAGTCTAATTAAAATACTTATTAGGAAATAGTTTTTGATTGTTTAGCGCTTGCTGATCTTCTATCAATAAACGTGCCTACTATTAGACAATATATGACGTGAAAACAATGTACTAGCGAAACATCCGTTCTTTAGCTAAGTAGACGATAAGATTACCGAAGATTAAACACACAATTAAAATTTACGCTGACAGTTCAGCACGCTTGATTGTATGGCGACCTGAGACAATTAAAGAACTAAAAGTAAAACACAAAAAGGGCCCACCTGTTACTTGTATTACGCTTTTTTTAAATTTATTTTGAGCACGTACAGTGTCGTCGAAGAGTATATATACATGTAAAGAATAACATTTTAGGAATATAAAAACAGAAAAAGAAATCAAATGACTAATAAAAAAAGTACCTATCTATAAGTTGTTTGGTAAGCGTTGATCGTTGTTTTTTTCGTAATATTTATTACAAATAGGCGCTACCCACAGTCTCTCAAACTTTGCAGTAATGAGCAGTTGAACACTCAAACGGCCAAATATCCCTCAGCGGGAACGAAAATAGGAGAGTAAATGCCCCACCCGGGATCTTCCCCCGTAATAAAAAATGGTCTGCAACCTTTGCCTCTTCTTTTTCGCTAGAACCCATCACCTCCTTTAGCTTGATGAGGACTAGACTGACTAATAACGCCGCCTCAAACCATACGGTAGACAATTTTAAATTTAAAAAGTTATTCTGATTTTTAAAATTTCCGTGTTTTTTTTTTTTTTAAATAATTGTAAATTGATTCCCTTTTCTACCAATTTACTCACTCTCGTTTTTAACATCTCTTAATTTTTTAAATCTCTAGAATTTTTAAGATTTTTTATCATAATCACTATTTGTACATAGGCTATTTATCCTGATTGTTGTAGTTTATTATTGTTAATTTTGTTTTTAGAGGGCCACTAGGGAGAATACTCAGTTTCATAGTAATTGGTGTCACCCTCTTAAGATGAAGGTTATATATTCTTTGTTAGAGTTGTCGAATGCGACTTTTTCACAAGTCCGAACACATAATGAAATCGAGAGTGATCGTCGGTGGTATTGAAGCATGCTGCACGCGGCCAGCAACAAATTTTTAATACGTCCTACCAGTAATAGCCTGGGAACAAAACAATACCATTAGATATGTGATTTCGATGGCTACGCTTGTGGGCCGCGGACCGATGGAGGTTTACTGCCTTTTCAGTCGGTAACGGTGGGGAACTGGTGAAGGGGCAACTTTTTTAACCAACAAATACTTCCTAAAAGATTGAAAAAGACCTTAAGATGCGGGTAAAATTTATCGAATGATTTTGCGGCTAATAAGACAAGCAGCAGCTGCAGCAGCAACAAAACACATTTAAAGTTCGCTCTCTGCCGGTGTCAGGCTTGACTGGTGACACAATGATTTGATCTCAAACAATGCGCGCGAAAACATCCGCCTTAGATTCAAAGGGACAAAAGATCAAGAGCAAATTAAGATAACAGTTCAACAAGAGAAATTGCATACTTCTAGACCAAGGCCTTAAAAACTGATTCCTGTGTCCGCTTAAGTATATTTTGAACACGTTCCCTTGTCGAAGAAGGGCAGTTTTTGCTGCTTTTGTACTTCTGGGTTTGATTAAGGCTGTTCTAAACACATATGGGTTGGTTATTTAAACGGAATTTGCCAGTGTTTAACAAAACCGCGTTCTAAGCCATTTTCAGGTTGCCCCAACGCTTTTATCTAAACACTATTTATCGAGACAAATTTCATTAAAGCGAATGGCGAAAGGAAGAGATCTGGAAGTCCAATGATTTCTTGAAGCACGACCTAAGTTAGACTTCGTTTAAATAACCCACCCATACTATACTTTCTTGTTGGCTTCGCAAATATTGGCTAAGTCACGAGAAATGAAGAAAAGCTAACTAGATTACACAACAACAACGTCTTGTAGATTTAAAGAGTTAAATCATCCGACATATCGGAGACGGCAAAGCCGGAGGAGGGATGACGATGGAAGCTTAAAAGCCCCCCTCCCCTCCCTACTTTGTCCAAAGACTTACATTAGCCTTTCCCCCGCACCCACTCCGGCACAATAGAGTCTAACAACGACTCCGTTGCACTAATGGGAAATCGACTATTTGTTATCATAAATTATTTCCCCCACGATTCCTGTTCATGTTGCACAGGGTCACTAATAAATCGGCAATAGATTACCCAACTGAAAGGACTCCTCTAGAGCAACCATGGACTCGCGCCTCGTTAGGAAAAATTCGCTTTTCTAAGACGTCGCCGGTCCGTTGCTAACCAGACTACAAAAGCCGACTCTCGAAAGACTTCTGACACGATCGCATTACGACCGCTCAAGTTCACTGCGGGCGACAAGAGGACCCCGCAATGCTAATCTCCAGTTCGAGATAATGGCACAGTTTTTTTCTTCAGTGGTGAAAATTTGCAACACAGGATATGACCATGAATTTGTATTACGACGGCAGACTTCAACATGAGGTTAATTTTATTTTTATTAATCCCTCTCAGAGTAAAATAAAATTTCGACTGACACGTCTCTTTTGAGATCCCTTCTAAAAACCGTTTCACATTATTCATTTATTTCAACGCAGCAGTCGTCAACTATATCACGGAGCTTTAGATCGGTAAATCATAACAATAGATGCCTATTACTGCTGAGTTTTTCATAATTTTACAGGTAATATATGACGTAAACGTCGATCTAAACGAGGGACATAACTAACCAATGAGATACCCTCAGAGATCTGTTCGTTGCAACGAATATCTGTTACCATGATTTCAATAAGACATCCACTGTATTTTCTATACATTGAGAGCGAAATCTCACGAAAAATAGCTAAAAGAACATAATGTTAATATGAATGACCGTGGATGACTTGCGAGTCAGTCTTAAGGTTCAGTTCGTCAAAGGAAGCAAGAAATATTCTTGGTTTGCAACCACATGCAAAGGAAGCCATGCATGTTGGTTCACAAAACAATTCAAATCTCTTTCACAGGATGTGCATGATAGGGAAAATAGTTTCCCGTGCAGTGAAAAGTTATAGCTCTTGTCGACCAACAACCTTCGAACCAGCAATAGGTCTCCTTCAGGCTAAAAGGTACACGTATGATTTGTAGTATAAATACACATGGACTAAATGAATATATATCTACTACCATCACTGCGACAAATATCTTTTCCCTGTCTCTCTTTTAAGTTCAACCTCGTTCCCAGGG